CCCCGTCCCCCGTCCCCGCACGCTGCTGCAGGACGCTAAATTACACACCTTCAATTAGCAGGATATAATGGTTTAACGAGGAAATGCTTTGTGGTGGACTCAAACCCCAGATTATTTCCTCCTGCAGGAGATTTTGACTACATTATTCTTATTAATTTAATTTGAATATTTTTTTTCTCCCGGTGAGAAAGCCTCTCCAGGCTCTTTCCGTCGAGAAAAAGGCGAGGAAATGCAGAGAGAGGGGAAGCAGCCTTCCCAGGCAGCCTGAAGAGCTGCAAAAGTTTCATCTCCTTCTCTTGCTGTGGTCCCCCCCTCCTTCTCCAACTTGCCCCCTCCCCGAAATTTCTGGGTGCCTGGTGAGAAGAAGCCAGGCCGGCAGGGGCACGAAACTCCACCAGGCTGAAAAACCATACACTTGATTTAAAGGCAGGAGGAAGACGGGAGTGGAGGGAGTTTGCAGAGGACACGGGATGCAGCTCCGTGCTCTGCCTGGCCAAAGTTTGTGCTTCTAATTCAACTCTGAAAAATACCTGTTTTTTTTGTCAGTTCTGCTTCTGCAGGAGGGACAGCAATACGCTCCTCGTAGGGCCAGCAACGTACCGCATCGCTTTGCATCTGCACGTGTGACTTCTTGGGTTTAGTAGGCCCAGTTGCACATTAAGGAGAGAAAATAAATCCATGGGCCGGTTGCCCCCTGTGCTGGTGTCTGTCCCCCCCCCCCCTTTTTTTTTATAAATTAAAAAAAAAAAAGAAAAAAGCAAAAAGCAAAAAGCTAGGCACTGTGCTTTTACTCAGTTGTGAAAATCTCGCATTCTTGTTGCACATTTGGAAAAGTAATATGAGGATTAGAGGCCTCCTGACAAACTCTTCCCTCCGAAGGATCAATTAGGTGATTCTGTCATTTTCTGTAGAAAAAGGGGGTGAGCCCTTAGCAATTGCAAGCAATTTCTTATTTTTCATTTCAGGAGCTTTTATCGGTATGAGTTTTGGGACGGAGATTTTTTTTTTCTTTTTTTGTCTTAAGTTTTGGTTCAGATTTAAAGGGAAGCTTTCGAAAGTGGGTTAGAAAAGGAAAACAAACAGAAATCCTAGTTATGAGCGTATTTATCCAAGCACTGGAACTGAAATGGCATGAGCATTTTGTATCATCTGTCAGGAAAAATCTAAACATCGCTCCATTTACATATCTGCTGAAGATCTAGGAAATAGTTGGGGAACATATGCACATCTCCTAATAGATTTACAAGCAAATGGATTGTAAAAATATTAACAAGGGTCGCTGTAGCTGGCTTAATTTCAAAAAGATCAGCAGAAATATATTGTTTCAAAAGACTCCTTTGCAGTGTTACATTATTGCAGGCGCCTTTGGGCTGGGTTTTGGGGCTTTTTTGTCGTAGGTTTTTTTCTTTTTTACACCTTTCTGAAGAGCAGAGGAGAATTTCGGTATAAGCAATACCAAATTGTGCGGCCCAAAATTTAGGTGCTGCTTAGAAACAGGCTGTT